TACTTTTGTCTGGTTTTATTTGGGACTCATTTTGTTCTCGCTGCCAGGCATTAGATCAAACGTCTTAGGTTACGACTGTAACCTATGTTCCCTGAGAACAGGGAACGAGACAATACTTCGAATGATGCAATGGGGAACGCCTCATTGCGTCATTCGACGTATTGTTGAGTTCCCTTCGAAAGGGAACTGGAGGATAAAGTAACTTTCGTTTCAGTGTTTCACACTTTTTAGACATGCACGCTATAATAAATAGACTTGTTTTTACCAAACTTTATAAATTTTCCTTTAAATGTCTCATATATCACTGAAAATGGGTGAATATATCACTGAGAATGAGAGCTATAATGTGGTATATGGCACATAGTCAGGATAATTCTAGGGAAATGCTCCGATATGAAAATGTTGACCGATAACCGATAATTATTTATATTTGAAAGCCGATAACCGATATGTTGGCCGATAAATCTAAATCAAAATTTTGTGAAAGTTTTTAAGAGCCTTATTACAAAAACAAAAGTCTCACCATTAAAATCCAAGTCCAAAACACAATTATAATGTTCTCAATATAGTTTTATGTTGCCGATATGACAGACTGTTGCACTTTTCCGTGTTTTGACGTGATTTCAATCATATTTCAAGCAATTCAAAACCATCATTTTGAACAGTGCACATATGAAGGAAATAACACATTATTTATCAACTTTAGTTACTTTAATATGTCGGACAAATTTTCTTTTTGGGCCGATAATGATAACATTAAAAATGATAATTGACCGATACCGAAATGGTGGCCGATATATTGTGCATCCTTAGATAATTCTGCTTAAATTGTGTACAAATGTTTCAAAAATTAGGTTTTTTACATTGGATTTTTTTTTTTTTACAGATGACTTATTTAGCCCAAAATTCAGCAAAAGTTTTGACATGGACTTACAGTCAATATTAAAGATATTTTCACAGAATGTTCTTTAGGGTTATTTTATGTAGAAAACAGTAAAAACTGACTTTAGCTGGGTTTTCATAGTCATGGAAATGTTATATGTATACCCGTACTGAAGCTTTCTGAGGGGGTTTCCTCCATGTTGAGGATCTAGTACAGACTCCCAATGGACAGATATAAATGTGATTGAGTGTTTTGATTGAGATTTATTGTTGATATTGTATATGACTGTTTATTCTGGGCTGAAGTCAGATGTCTTCTGAGGAATCTTGGCTGACCCTTCGTGTGTTGTGGATAAACAATGGGAAGAAGCTCATTTTCAGATTACCCAGCATGCAGTGTACTGGACATTTGGTGGTTATGTAACAGCACATCTAAATTTCTCAGGCTATTTGTGCGATTTGAACGTCCATGGAAAACCACATGTAAAAATAGCCTTTGAAGATTAGATCAGGAATTCGTGCTGCCACCCATCAAGATCCGCAAGATATGATTTACTGAAGTTTATGATGGCATAATGTGGGCAACATGGTAAAACACTGATGGTAATGTAACTGGAACATAGTAATGAGGAAATCTCTGAAAGTTCATCTTTTATCCAAGCATTCTGATGCAAAATACCAATCATCAGACCTCAACAATTACTCACTAGATAAATAACAGTAAGAGAAAAGATTACGAAGCTGTAAATGACCTCATCACTAGGTGTTGTTGGTGGTTGCTAGGGCTGGATTGACATTAAATAGCCCCTTTCACACATACAGTCTTTACCGGTAAATTACCGCAACAGATAATGTGTGAACGGAAACTTTTACATTTATACCGGTAAATTACCATAACAGCTCATGCTTGAACAGGAACCTTTTCATATATACTGGTAACAGATCATGTGTGAACAGGAACCTTTTCATATATACTGGTAAATTACCATAACAGATCATGTGTGAATGGGACCTTTTCATATATACCGGTAAATTACCGTAACAGATCATGTGTGAACGGGAACCTTTTCATATATATCAGTAAATTATTGTAACAGATCATGTGTGAATGGGACCTTTTCATATATACCGGTAAATTACCATATAGATCATGTGTGAACGGGACCTTAATTACCGTAACAGATCATGTGTGAATGGGACCTTTTCATATATACCGGTAAATTGCCGTAACAGATCAAGTGTGAATGGGACCTTTTCATATATACCGGTAAATTACCGTAACAGATCATGTGTGAACAGGATCTTTTCATATATACCGGTAAATTACCATAACAGATCATGTGTGAACGGGACCTTTTCACATATACCAGTAAATTACCGTAATAGATCATGCGTGAACGGGACTTTTTCATATATACCGTTAAATTACGATAACATCATGTGTGAACGGGACCTTAATTACCGTAACAGATCATGTGTGAACGGGACCTTTTCATATATACCGGTAAATTAACGTAACAGATCATGTGTGAACGGGACCCTTTCATATATACCGGTAAATTACCGTAACCGATCATGTGTGGACGGGACCTTTTCAAGTATACTGGTAAATTGCCGTAAAATAGATTATGTGTGAACGGGACCTTTTCATATATACCGTTAAATTACGATAACATCATGTGTGAACGGGACCTTAATTACCGTAATAGATCATGTGTGAACGGGACCTTTTCATATATACCGTTAAATTACGATAACATCATGTGTGAACGGGACCTTAATTACTGTAACAGATCATGTGTGGACGGGACCTTTTCAAGTATACTGGTAAATTACCATAACAGATCATGTGTGGGCGGGACCTTTTCAAGTATACTGGTAAATTGGTTCCGGCAATTCACCAGTAAGTTAGAGTTACCAGTAAGTCACAATTATTTGAACTCGTCATTAAGATTATGGTTATTTCGCACGTATGAGATGAGAATGCAGTAATAAGATGAGTAATTTTTGGACGTCCACTGAAGGGTTGTTTTGTAATGCCAGACGTCCACCGCACGTCTAATATTGCCGTACGTGGGACCAAATGTGGTCGTTTGTGGATGTCTTTTCCACATCAAATTTAGACTAATTTTAGACGTTGTTTTTATGCAACTTCTATAACTGTAGTACCATGTTTCAAAAGGGTGGAGGACATGTTTTCTGTACGATGCATTTACATTTATGTATTCGGCAGCCGCTTTTATCCAAAGTGACTTACACTGCATCAGACATTTACATTTCTATCAGTTCTTGCTTTCAATTGAATTGAACTCATGATCTTAGCGTTGTACAGCACTCTACTGTTTGAGCTACAGCATTACACCTTTGTGTAATGGAGTTTTTGGAAAATGATCTTAAATAATTATAAAAAAAATCTGTATTTTAAATGTATTAATCATGTTGATAACAATGATACATTTGTAAATATATATATATATATATATATATATAAATAAATATATATATACGTATATATATATTACATATTGCAAAAAATGACCGAGTTCCACGGTCAAATTTTGAACGTCAATATGACGTCCATGTTGGGTCATGCTTGGACGTCTAAAAAGTGGACGTAATTTTGATGTTGAATAGATGTCCAGAATTGGTCATGGACTAATGGACCCAATATAGACATGATCTGCACCGTCTATCCAACGTCCAATGTTTAGTGAAGAAGCTGTTGAAAGAGCAACGGCTCGGAGACATTCATAAAATGTGTAAAAAAATGGTCAAAATCCATAAAAAGTTTAATATTTTTGGTTGAAATTCGTAAAGCACATTAAATGCAGTTGTTTTGTAAAGTTGATTAACTGTCATCACATGTACAATACAACATGTTTTTTTTTTTCTGAATAACTTTTGGTTTAAATATAATTTCCAGAAGACAAGTCACAAGTTTTGCTTCAAGTAACAATAAAAGAGATTGAGCTTGAATCAGAATCAATGAATGTTATTCCATCAAAAAACAACAAAAAACAACAACACCACACATACACAAACACACACTCACACACACTCACACTCACTCACATACACACACAAAAAAAGCAAACAGATGAGCGTGGCGTGCGCTCCTCATGGATGTCGTATCTAAGCAACAGCCGCTGAGAAAAAGCCTTGATTCTTATTGACGTCTCTTTTGTCAGCAAGCAAGTGTAGGTGCTGTGAAGAGTCAAGTTAATGGCCACTATCACTCTCACCTCAGACCTGAGCTATCAGTTCTCTTTGCTTTAGCGATTTGAACAATGGTTTGAACAGCGCTCTGTTTAAGTTGCCTGCATGTGAGAGAGACTGGAAGACACATGTCTCCCCCTTTTGGACAATAAAAGCAGTGCAGTGTGTCCATCGATACTACAGGTGAAACGCGAAAAATTTGAATATCATGCAAAAGTTCAACTTAAAAGGTGAAACTAAGACATTATATAGACTCATTACATGCAAAGTGAGATATTTCAAGCCTTTATTTGTTTTAATTTTGATTATTATGGCTTACAGTTTATGAAATATTTTTTTTAATTTGGGGTTTTCATAAGCTGTAAGCCATAATCATCAAAATTATAACAAGTAAAGGCTGGAAATATCTCACTTTGCATTTAATGAGTCTATATAATATATTAGTTTCACCTTTTATGAACTTTAGCAAGATATTCACATTTTTCGAGTTTCCCCTGTATAGAGGTTTGTATTTTTTTTTTAATCATGTAGCAGAAAACTTACATTTTAATAATATATTTATAAAAACTTGCTTGAAATATTCATATTTGTCCTAATTTGTAAAAACGCTGTATTTAGATTTTTAAATATTTTGATTGCACCCCCACCCCCACCCCACCCTGTGTGTGTGTGTGTGTGTGTGTGTGATATTAAGCAGACAGTCTACTAATACAAATTGCTATTTGTCATGTAGTTGCAAAGATCCTTATATTTAGTAGTATGTCATATTTTTAGATAACAGTGGTGCATAATTTAAATGATGCTATAATTATATTTTTAACATTCCATGTCGACACATTGACTTCTTCTGCATTGAAAGAGACCTTCCAATTCACACTGTGATCTTCTTCCTGGTGAATCAGTGGGAGAGGCCCGAAACCTGATTCCCATGGACCCCAATGGGCTCTCAGACCCGTACGTGAAGCTCAAACTCATCCCAGATCCCAAGAATGAGACCAAACAGAAGACCAGGACCATCCGCTCCTCGCTCAACCCCACCTGGAACGAGTCCTTCATCTTGTGAGTCTGCCAGTACACACACACACAAGTTTGTTTTGCTATACATGTGAGGACATTCCATATACTTAATGGTTTTTATACTGTACAAACATTATTTCTCTCCCCTTACACTAACCCTACCCCTAAACCTACCACACACACACACACACACACTCTAACCCGAGCCCTAAACCTACCCATCACAAGCCGCGTTTCTATAACCCTTCAAATTGCGCGAATTGAAATTGCGAAAAAAAAAAAAAACACACACAATGGAAACACGTCAATTTCGCAAAAACTCCCATTTATCGCAAAAAAGTTTTTACGCTCGCATGAGGAGGTTTTTCAGGCAATTCAAAAAAAGGAATATTTCGCAAAACTGCAATGGAAACGGGTTTTGCGCATTTACGGTCACCTGACTTAGAAGACGGATTGTGTTTTGGGTCCGTGTCCGCAAATAATAATAATAATTATCATCATTATTATAACATTTATTAGGCTATATATGTAGAAGACGCTTTTATCCAAAAAAGGAACAAAGCAATTCGTCACATTTCATTCATAGTACAGGTCGGACAATAATAATAATAGGGCTAAGGTTATCACAAATAAACACACGATTTTGACGCATATCCAAGTGTGGACTGTGGAGTGTAATATATGTATAAATCAAGGTAAATGGTTGATGAAACATTGATTAAAATTAAGATAAAATTTATTCAAAGCTAAATTCATTTTAAAGAAAGGCTTTATACAAAACAAAACTTAATGTGGTCAAAATTAGGTTTCCCGATATATTGCGCAGATGCACACGGTTCACTTTTCATAATCAACATAGATTAAATAAAAAAATAACATATATTTAAACGCCACTTTTTCGTTTTCTCTTCAGATCATTTCCATGTAAACATAGCCTTAGTCGCAAAACATCGGTTAATGGAAACGGCGTCATTTCGCAATAGTTTTTTATCGACATTTAGGAAATATCGCAAAAGTTTTGCGCAAATCTTTAATGGAAACGCGCCTACACACACTAACCCCTAAACCTACCCATTACACACACATACACACACATACGCTGTACATGTTTTCTCAGGTTAATCTGTGTGTGTGTGTGCAGTAAGTTGAAGGCGTCGGATAAGGAGCGGCGTCTGTCAGTGGAAGTGTGGGATTGGGACAGAACCACTCGTAACGACTTCATGGGCTCCATGTCCTTCGGTGTGTCTGAGCTCATCAAAGCTCCTGTGAGCGGATGGTGAGTCAAACACACACATACAACAAACTAAACTTTCTCAAGATAAATTACTTTAGCTATCACATTTTGTTTCTGAGAGGTGAATTATAATGTTCTCGCTATAATTTTATGTAGCCGATATTACAGACTGTTGCACTGAACCGTATTTTCATGAAATTTAAAACCATCATGTTGACGGTGAGCATCTGAAGTGTCTCAGCTGAAGGAAAAATAATTCATTATTTATCGGTTCGGACAATTTTTTTTTATCAGGGCCGATAACCATAGCAACATAATTGTGTGTTTGGGACATGGATTTTAATGGTGTGACTTTTGTTTGTGTAATCAGGTTTTCAAAAATTATATAAAAATTTGGATTTAGATTTATCGGCCGATATATCGGTTATCGCCTTTCAAATATAAATAATTATCGGTTATCGGTATCGGCCAACGTTTACATATCGGTGCATCCCTATATATTTCCTGCTGCTTCAGCTGTGTGTGCCGGTCTCTGGTGTGTGACAGGTATAAGATGTTAAACCAGGAGGAGGGTGAGTACTACAACGTGCCCATCCCAGAGGAGAGCGACATCAACCTGGAGCTGCGGCACAAGTTTGAGGTGAGACACACACACACTCACACACACACAACACACTCACTGAGTCTTGCAAGGCTGTTCGTTTTCACCTCAAGTTGTGAATATTAAAGCCAAATAACATGAATTTGCAATTTTATTATGCAATTTAGACTAGAAAGGACCAAATCCACTGTCAAGGTCACCATAGTTTCAATGGTGGTTGGTGGGAAGTGTTTACTTGTGTATGCCATAACCGTTTGCTTTTGTGTGTCTGCGTCTCTCTTTCTGGAAACTTCTCAAGTTGTTTCATTTTTCGTCTCTCTCTCTCTCTGGGTATCAAGAGCATCAGCCAATTAACAGCTCATTTACATTCCTTATTTGTTTCTTTGTTTTGGACTACCTATGCAGAATCTTTATTTGCAGCAAACTTGTAATGCACTGAAAAAAATAATATGCTTTATCTAATCAATAAAATTGTGGCTACATATTACAAGCAATATTATTAATTCAATTGTACAAATTAGAATTAATTAGAATGTAAATTTGATTAACTATTACTCAATTCTAATTTGTTAAATTTAATAAATAATATTGCTTGTAATCTGTTGCCACAATTTTATTGTTTAGATAAAGCATATTCATTTTTACAATGTAGATCCACAAGAAACAAAACAGTTGAGATGATTTAAACTGAGGCTTTACACTTTATATATGTAAGGCTGAATTGAAAAAAGTGAGGTGACAAGCAAGTACACATGTTTGAACTGTGATCCTCTCGCATCTTCATCAAAACAAATACGTATTTCACTTACACTGGTTTTCGACAAAGCAAAGACTAGGTATTACTGTATTGAAATGACTATAGAAATCCTTTTTTTTCAAAAACTGCTTTAGCAACATCGAGCAGAAATCATGACTGGACAATCGGATATATCTTCTTTCTGTTTATCGTCGTCTTTTGAGAGTAATTGATTTGTCTGTGGCTCAGTGTTGGTTTGACGGATCCTTCCTTCCTGCTTAGAGTCGTTTCACTCCTGATTTCCTGCAGTCTGAAGAGATAAGAGCTTCTCAGTCCTCAGTTATCCAACTAACATGCCAGTTTTTCCCTCTTATAGGCCTGTCAGTTCAATTTCCACCTGCTAAAGGTATAGCCTGCTCGCCTCTCATCTGTCTCTATCTGTTCATCACAGAATATCACACTGATTATTTGTGTGGCTCAGGCTACAGCAAAGAAATCAGATTTACTAACAAAGATGCACTCCAACTTTCAGGTTTCTATTCACTGTTCACACACACACTCTTGCTCTCTTTCTTTATTTATCAAATGAAGATTCACTGATATCTGACCTCTGATCACTGAAATTGGTGATTTTGAAATGGTAATGATGAGCAATTTATTAAGTAAACTGTTATAGGGGTGTAACGGTACACAGAAGTCACGGTTCGGTACGTTTCTCAGATATGGTGTTAGGTACAACAGAAAAAAAGCAGCTAATCCCCAATGCTAGGTTTCTTTTCCTTTATTTTGAACAGACTGTAGTGCAATTTACAGTTTGTTGCACTTAGGGTCATTTAGTCCCCTAGTTAGTACACCCTCCTTTAGTGTATTAAACACTAAACAGAAAAGAGAATGCATTCTTGCATATGCTGGAAAAAAAATCTGTTAAATCTACGGGAAAAAAACGGGTTGTGGGTTTTTTTTAGCTGTGGTTGCCAGAAATTTACTTTGAAAAATATGGTAGTAACGTTTTAGGTTTTACAGACTTAAATTAAATTTACAGTTCATTGATGTAATGTTAATTTACAGATCTTTTGAAATACTGATATCTGTTTTGTACCATTGTAATAGACCGATAACCACCAATCACAGTGGTGATCAATCAAAGCTCATCAAAAGCAGCTTTTCCACACGCTGAGAAAGTTAATACTAATATATTGAAGATATATAAGATAAGATATACAGAGTGTCATTCACAAACACTAATTTAACAACATTACAAGTAACATGAAACCCTAATGTTATTAACTGATTAGAAAAAAACTGTTATTTCAACAATAATACATCATACGTGAAGTGTCACGCTGGGAATTGTGTGTCGATTTACCTTTTTTTCACTGTAAATTATACAATGACTCCAAAAATTACATTACATGTTCAGTTAGAGCTTTCCCAGTTAGTCACCGTAAGTACGCAAACTTTGTTTACCAATTTTTTTCACTGTACGTTTTTACAGTTTTTTACCGTTAAATTCATGATAATTTTTTACAGTCACTTGGCATTGTGCCGAATTGTGTTGTGGAAGTCGCACTACTACAGTCTAGTGATGAAATATGTCCTGGAAATGGGAAGAGATGCTTTTCAGTTTTGTAGTTGTATTGATTGTGCCCAAATATTTGCCCTACAATAAAATATGTACGAAACAACTTAAAATACTCTCATTTATGGTCATACGGAAAAGAGTAAGACATGAGTAAGTATGTTTTTATTTGTGTACACTCACAAAACATTGTGCTTTTTTAAAAATCAAGACAGGATGCCACCTCAGTTTCCTTTCCAAACAACATTGCATTACCCTTTCTGGATTGTAGAGTGGATTGTCTGTGACCGTATTTGTCATCTGACTGAGTTCACCAAACCGTGACATAAATAGCTTGAGGTTTTCGGGATGAATACATGTACTGTTACACCCCTACACTCTCCGAAAAAAAGATACAAAAGCTGTCACTGGGGCTGTCCCTTTTCAAAAGGTAAACGTTTGTCAATTTTAGTTGCTAATATGTACATTTCAGGTGCTGATACATACATTTTAGGTGCTGATGTGTACATTTTAAGTGTTAATATGCACATTTCAGGTGCTAATATGTACATTTTAGGTGTTAATATGTAAATTTAGATGTTAATGTGTGCATTTTATGTGCTCATATGTTCATTTCAGGAGCTAATATGAACATTTTAGGTGTTAATATGGACATTTTAGGTGGTGATATGTACATTTTAGGTGCCAATACATTTTATGTGCTCAAATGTGCATTTAAGGTGCTAATAAGCACATTTTAGGTGTTAATAAGTACATTTTAGGTGTTAATATGTACATTTTATGTGCTCATATGTTCATTTCAGGAGCTAATATGTCCATTTTAGGTTGAAATATGTAAATTTTAGGTGTTAATAAGTACATGTTAATATGTACATTTTAGGTGCCAATATGTAAATTTTAGGTGCTCACATTTACATTTCAGGAGCTAATATGTACATTTTAGGTGGTAATATGTACATTTTAGGTGCTAATATGTCCATTTCATGAGCTAATTTGTCCATTTCGGGTACTAATATGTCCATTGCAGGTGCTAATATGTACATTTCATGAGCTAATATGTCCATTTCGGGTACTAATATGTCCATTGCAGGTGCTAATATGTACATTTCAGGTGCTAATATGTACATTTCAGGTGTTAATATGTACAAAAGTGTACCTTTTGAAAAGGTACAGCCCCAGTGACAGCTTTTGTACCTTTTTTCTGAGAGTGTATTATATACCCATTATGTGGCAACAGTGATGAATGGGATATTCCAATTGGATGATAATGCAATGCAAAATTAATATTATATTTTACAATTTATATTCCATTATATTGCACAACTAAAAAGCTAAATGTATCAAATAATAGTTGAATCTATCAAATAATAACGGCCCCCTTTACACACACACACATTATTTATTCCATTTGTGAAGCCATAAGCGCTGCAGTTGTTAGTAAATAGGCAGAGCACAGGGGCTAAAGGACAGGCGCTGATCTTTTGGCTGTTTGTGGTCTGCATCGGCCATCTATAGTTCATAGAAGGCTTTCTCACACGCTGACCCTGAGCATGTTTCATGTGCATCCTGAACGAATGACACACTAGATCACGCAATAAACAGTCTGTTCTTGTTTCAGTGTTTGAGTTGCATGAGCTCACTTACATGTGATCTCCAATAGAGGGCAGCGCATCATAACTCTTTTACTCGTTTACAAAGAGAAACATGCTAATGAAATTTCAATGTTCAATCCTTAAATGTATGCATGTAAGAATAGATTCATAATAATGCATTATTGTTACTCTGGACAATATATACAGTCAAGAAATACTGAAAGCCGATTATATTTGTACAGACTTATACAAAATATGGTCCCACTTTATATTATGTTGCTTTGACTATTGTGTACGTAGCTTAAATTGTACTGCGTTTGTATGTATGTGTAATTACATTGTAATTACAACTGTAATTAAATCTGTAATGACATATGTTCCACATACTATTGAAAACTGTATAATACTATTACACATACTATTGTAATAACAACATGGAGACACGGGGCAGGGTGTGGAGACGAGTGTGTGCATGGTGGGTGGATAAATGGTAACTTTTCCTCTGTAAACATGGGATATTTATACACTGTGTTTATTTGGAGTCTTATTATCCGACCTCGTATCTCTCACTATGCTTTAATACATTGAAATAACACTTTAGTTTGGGGACCAGTTATTACTATTAAGTAGTTGCTTGCATATTACCAGCAGATTGGCTTTTTATTAGCACTTATAAAGCGCATATCAATGCCTAAAATAAACTACAACAACTGCCTTACTAACTGTTGTAAGCAGTAAATTAGCAGTTTAATGAGGCAAAAGTCATAGTTAATAGTGAACATTATTATTATACGGTAATTATACTGAGTTATATATATATATATTATAGGTGACAAAACAGATTCCACTATGTTATTATTTTGCAAAAAGAAATCCTGCATTTATTGTTATCTATGAAAAACATTGTATTTATTTATTTGCATTTTTTTTAGCACAGAATAGTTTATGGTAGTGTTTGACAACTGTGTGATGTTTATGCTAATACACTGATTTTGGTTTCCAGAAAATATGACAGTTTCCAGTTTATTTTAGTGCGGCTTTATGTTTCTTATGTGAGGCTGGTAAACCTAAAATCAACCACACGATGGCTCTCTTCATAAGTTTATGACCATGTAACAGACGCTTTTATACATAGTCTTTTACAAATGAGGAATAAAGCATAATATAAGAGATTGATGCTAAGGAGGCCACAACGAGAGGATTGAATAGAATAGCAACATACACAGAAAAAGCACTAGAACCTGCATTCAAATACTCAAAGAGTGTGATGGTATATACTGTTTATATATATATATATAAACATCACTGCACTGATTCAATTATTAATGCAGCTGCAAATTAGTCACATTCATGTGTAACGTCTCATGATTGTGGCGGACATTAGCCATGCTGCACACCTGCATATGACATGTTCGTCATTTCTAGAAGAATTCATTAACAATGTGAGGGGATTTATATCCGCAGCTTCAAATTAAACCGGCATCTGAAACCTTTCATTATTCTTTGGCATTTCTCTGTCAGAACACATGGGTGATAATGTTCCTCTGTTACATTTCCATTATGAAATGGTGATATTTAAAGTGCATTTTATTAGAATTTTAAATGTCACATATAATAGAAGTGTTAATAAATGGCATTGTGCCTGTTCAAGCTAAAGGTATTGAATATTAATAAAAATGATGAAAAATATTAAAAAATAATATAAAAGAAAAAAACATTTAATAGTAACATTCCTCAAACTTTGTTGAGGAGAAAAGGCCAGACCGATATTATCGGCCGATATTAGGCATTTTCCATAATATCGGTATCGGCAGTTATAAATGGCCGATAAATGAATATTTAAAAAATAAAATAAAAACGGACGAAACACGCTTCAATCATCTCTCCTTGGCCTGTTATATTGAAAATGTTTTACAATTTGCAGTATGATGTTATCTATTGCTAAATTATGGCTCATCATAGACTAGCTAACCACAAAGCTAGCTAATGCCACTATCATCAGTGGAAGACCGCTAACGTTAACATTAATGAGCTTGGAAACCACAATGAACTTTTTCTGCCTAAATAAAGTAATGATTACTGTATTTATAACTAGAATATCTCTAGTCACAGTGTCTGCATTGTAAAATGTAAGTTATACTTGCGAGGAGTGAACATTTAGACATAGAGAAAAAGTATCAAACGTATCTTGTGCAGAAAAGTTAGCTTTTCTTTTACACGTGTGTGAAATCCAACAATATTTAATTAAAAAAAAAAAAATATCGGCCGATATATCGAAATATCGGATTTTAAAACCCAAAAATATTTGTATCTGTATCGGCCTTCAAAATCCTTTATCGGTCGGGGTCTAATAGAAACATATCTATAATAGCAGAAAAAACTGTCAAATGTTTATTGTAAAATCATTGTTTAGACGTAATGAGGAACACAAAAGCACCTGTTTTGTAGACTTAAGGTCCAAAATTTGTTTTTCTGCGTTTTTCGCATCAGTAACAAGCAATTTGAGAGGTGTTTTGACAATTCAGAGCCTCCGAATGACGAATGCGAAAAAACGCATGTGAAAATGTTTTTCATTGAGAATAGCAGTGGAGTCTATCCACAACTGACCACAGTGGTTAGCTATAAATAGCAGATAGACTAAATAAAGAGTGCATTAATGCCCTAGATGCTGTCCATCTAAAGGGATTGTGGATATTGTTATAATAAGAGTGGGAGTGTGAAAGACGGCGGAGGTGTAATTGCAGGTTTTGAAGGAGGGTGATGACCCCTCATTATCACTGTCGACTGTTGAGCCATGGAGAGTCTCACTCAGATCCCCTACATACATGCATCACGGTCTCCATGCCTTAACAGATCTGCTCAAACATCTGACAGTCCGGACGATGGCTTGTTTGCCAGGTACAATCAGTTTGAGACCTAAAGGGGTGTTCACACGGACAGTGGTTTGGAGAGATCAGTATCAGCAGGTTTCATTGAGCTGGCGATTTGAGGTGTCAGGAATGAGAGCAACAAAATAGTGTTGGTTATGTTTTGACATAATCATCGCTTGACCAGAATCACAAAACTCATTTTAGGGCATTAGGTTTACCTTGTTGATTACAGCAACACCATAATTCTATAGCAAGCATGTTTCAGCCCTTTCAGTATAATCCAAAATATTTTGTCAAATTAGTTCTGATCAAAAAGAGTTTGAAAAATTATTTTATTTAGACACACTGACATCAATAATCAGCCTGTGAATCTCAACAATGGTGACAATAAAAAGCATGTTGCAGTGCATTCTGGGTGCCACCAATCAAAAGTCATTCATGGCTCCCATCATGCATTGCAGTATGAATACATTATTATCTGAATTGTCTTAGTAATTTCCTTTTTGAATTGAATATTCTGTTTGTCACCATTGTTGAGATTCATACACTGATTATTGATGTCTGTAAGTCCCTAAAAGAAAGATTTTTCATCAGAACTTTAAAAAAATAATTTGAATTGTATAAAGAATTCTGGATCTTATGCTGTAGAATCACTGTGAGGCTGTAATCAACAGTATACATTAAAGTCAGAGATTTAGCTCTAAATTAGTTCAGTGATTGAGGTCAACTGGTGATTTTGTTAAAACATAACCAACACCATCACATCATCTTTTCTCTTTGTTCATCTGGCAGTAATAACGCTGTTACAACAGCCAAACAAAATCTAAAGTAAAAAATGTAAGGGTTAACTGCCCAACTGAATCAAACACTGATCTCCATAATGGTGACTTAAAATTGTGATTTTTCACTTTCAGTGATTCTACTTGTTAACATCAGGTGTCTACAATGTTGGTCAATATACGGTGCATGCCACATAAACGGTTTTTGTTCAATGTTATCTGCTTCCTGTAGCTGGATTCACAATGGTAAGCTTGTAATAATGTTTTTAACTCCAGTGTTACTGGTGGATTTTGGGGAAAAAGCCTTGACCTCAACCAATACATTAGAGTCAAGCATGCTCAAGGTTACTGTGATTCACTTTACAGCACACAGAACAGTTTGTTAAAAGCCTGGATATTTTTCCAGCAGTTGTGATTTGTCAGATCGGCTATACAGCTCAGGTGAGTCATAACATAGTGTCGGCCCGCATCTGGTACACGTTAAATCCACGTTTCTGTCTCTCCCCAGCAGCTGTAGATGTCTCTCAAAGCCAAGCACACGTTATCCCTCATGTCCTCTCATTTTCACACAGGCCTGACCGTGTTACAGCACATTTCTCAGACGTGTCATGTTAGTTGAGCACGCAAAACCCCAGGACTTTTGTTGCACTTGAACCACGAATAAAAAAAAATTAAAAATAAAAAAAAAATTGAATGGATTGAGGAGTTTTGTGGTTGAAATCTAAAAAAAGTAACAAATCCTTCCCTTGTGGGTCAATTTGACCCCCTTAATAATGAATGGGTTGCGAGGAATGCTTCAGTACACAGAAAAACCTAAAAATGCTCAAAATTCTTTATTTTATAATGTCTACATGTCTATCTGAAAGCATACTGAGGAGAAACTGACTTCTCACAACAGAAGTTTCAGTGGCAGACGTGTGTTTGCGCGTCTGTGTGTGTTGGGTTACTGATCACTCTCCATCACTCTTGTAGAAAGCCAGGCTCGGTCCTGGGAAGAAAGTCATCAATCCCTCGGATCACCGACGCTTCAGTTTACCATCCGGGAACATGGACAGAGTTCGGCTCAACGACTTTCATTTCCTGGCTCTTCTCGGCAAAGGCAGTTTTGGGAAGGTCAGTCGCATCCCAAGTGTTTCTGGCACGTACAAGCACTCATTAATAACCCCCAAACACAGAGCAGTTTTTAGAGCAAGAATGCTTAGTTAGAAATCACACTTTTTTGCATTCCCAGACTGTAACATATTACCGGCCCAGACCTGGCCCACATATGGCAAGTGTTGAATGTACCAATATGTTATGCCTCTTAGTTTTTGTGATCTGTCAGAAAGTGTTACTAACAAACAAATATACAACATCAATGATATATCAACTTTTGATTAAGGACCTCAACAGATGCTTGATTGTCTGTCAAAGATCAACTTTGCAAAATCCAGACATAGTTCTTCCTCAGAAAGTCTTTGTTTCTCAGTGGAGTGAATAAAAAAACCTCAAACCCACGACTCCCTGAATATAACATAAATTCAGCCAATGAGATTAGAGATCCTCATGTTTGGCCTATCACTGTGGTTTCTGTTGATAAAGGTGTGGTCACAGATTTTGGGGGCATAAAAGGTCCATAATGGACCATTGTCTCTTGTCAACAGTGTATCAAAATATAAAGCACAGCTTACACAGCCCACATGTGAAACTCCTGAACGTGCAGATTCAAAATGTAATGACTTAATTTCACTTGCAAAATTTGGCCATGCAACAGTAAATATGACCACATCTTAACCTTCATGGAAAATATTTTTAGAAAACCCTAAAAATGCTCAAAATTCAAACTAAAAATGCTAAAACTTTACCAAAAAAATGATTTTATAATGTTATAATGCATCCTGAAGCAAAACTGACTTTTGGACCCAGAGGAACAGCTCATTTGCATATAGAGCTATAAGGCTATCCAATGGCTAGACTCATGAAATATCATGTTATATTATGTTTTTTTAATTACACAATAGTTTGGCAAAAGACACCCAATGTAAGATAGATATTTTGAGCTAAATTAAAAGGTTTGGCCATGAAATTATGAGTTATTTTGAATTTAAGTTGAAATAATGTGATGAATGTGCTTAAACTGCTAAATTACTATTTATTTATTGATCAAATCTAGTAATTTAAAGATAAATAACAAAAAAAAAAAAGAACTATAATTTTCGGGCTTCGGGTCACTTATGCCAAATGACTAACTAACCAATCACGAGCAGAGTTTCCACTCAGCGTGTGTGTGTGTGTTTTGAACACAGGTGATGTTGGCGGAGATGAAGTCCACTGAGGAGCTGTACGCCATTAAGATCCTGAAGAAGGACGTGGTGATCCAGGACGATGACGTGGAGTGTACGATGGTGGAGAAGAGAGTGTTGGCCCAGAGAGACAAGCCACCTTTCCTCACACAGCTGCACTCCTGCTTCCAGACTGTGGTGAGACACCGCTTTACGCCAGCTTTGTGTTCAGTGATCGGCTCTTTATAGCAAGACTTCAAAATGTATGAGTTTCCTTCAAACCTGATTTAATATTAATCACAAATATTGCCCAAAGACAAAAACATTCATATAAAGTGAATATACGTAGCTGTCATATTTAAGTTCTTGTTTAGTTTTAGTCTTAGTTTTTGTGTTAAAGGAGTTGTTCACTTTAAAAAAAAACAAGATGTCCATGTCTTTCTGTCTTCAGTCGAAAAGAAATTAAGGTTTTTGATGAAAACATTCCAGGATTTTTCTCCATATAATGGACTTCAATGGGAACCAAACGGTTCAAGGTCCAAAAGACAGTTTCAGTGCAAACTGTTCAAAGGGCTTTAAACGATTCCAGACGATGAATAAGGGTCTTATCAAGCGAAACGATCGCTCATTTAATAAATAAATAACAAAGTTTAAGTTTTAGAAGCTCAAATGCTCGCCTTGCTCTGTTCTGTGTGACTCTCCTGTTCGAACTGGTTCATCAAAATGAACGAATCTTTTTCTGAGTCAATTCGTTCATTTCGTTGGTTGAATGAAACAAATGACTCGAAAAAAGATTCGTTCATTTTGATAAACAAGTTCGTACAGGAGAGTCATGAACATGCATCAAAGTGTCTTTTGGACCTTGAACTGTTTGGTTCCCATTGAAGTCCATTATAGGGACAAAATCCTGGAATGTTTTCATCAAAAACCTTAATTTCTTTTCGACTGAAGAAAGAAAGACATGGACATCTTGGATGACATGGGGGTGAGTAAATTATCAGCAAATGTTTTTTTTTTTAAGTGAACTCCTTTAAGTTTCTGGATTATCCCATACAAATAATTAATATTTTTTAATCATATATACTTAATGTAGGTCGATATAACTTAAGTTCAACATAATTTAATTTAGTTTGCTATAAATAAAGACAGCTTTGAAAGACATTAATGATTTTTGTAATATTGTGATGCTTTAAAAAAAACACCAGAAAGATTAATAAACCCCACCATATGTATTTATTTCTGCAGTCAGTAAAGTATTCTGCACAATAACAAAGAAAAAAACTCTTTAAACAAAATTATTTCTTTTATTTTTTATTTTTTATTTTCTAAATGAAAACCGGAGACCATGTTTTCCACTTAGTCCAATATAAACATGCACTTTAAATAAATTACACGCTCTTTTCATTATTTTTTTTGGTCCTTTTTTCATATCATGTTACAAGATGTTTGATCCCAGGGCTATTTTCAGTAATTTCACTCAAAGCTATTGCATGGCTTCGGAAGACTTTTATTCTGCTTTAACTGTGTTTTTTGGAGTGTAACCGTGAACTGTCAATGTGTCAGAAAGGCCTGGTTGAATACTCTGTGTCTCTGTGACTCTGTAAACACAGCACATACGACTAGTGTGTGTGTGTGTGTGTGTGTGTGTGTGTGTGTGTGAAGGGGGAAGCTCCTCCAGGAGTCACAGCGGGTCTCTCTCACTATGGGGATCCTGCTGATGAATAATGCAACAGATCCCAGCATGCCCTCACTAAATATTCATGAGCTAAATGCAGACAGCAAACCATGATGTCCACTCGCATTTCAGTCCGAACACTGTAAACCCCCGAGGGACGGTCACAATGCTCATACACACACGACTGTCAGAGTGAGTGTGTGTGTGTGGTGGTGTCCTTTACTAACCACCACACACACACACTAATCAATGCACTTACTTACACAAATACCCTGTGTGGGAATCACTTTAGATTACAGTCATCAATGAATACACATTAATAAATAGGTAACGCAATATTTAACGTTACTATAAACTTGGTTAATGAGTAAGGTAACAGTTTACAATTAGTTAACATGAACTAAGAATTTATTACAGCATTTATTAATCTTAGTTAATATTAATTTCAGAATTTACTAATACGTTATTAAAATCAAAGGTTGTGTTTGTTAGCATTAGTTAATACACTTTGATGAACAAACAATGAACAGCTGGATTTTTATTAACTAACATTAACAAAGATTAATAAATACTGTAATAAACGTATTGCTCATTGTTAGTTCATGCTAGTTAATACATTAACTAATATGTTAACTAATGAACCTTATTGTAAAGTGTTACCATACATAAGAATGAATGAGGTAGTTCACTATTAACGCGTCCCCGCGTTTTGATCGTTTTTTTTCACATAGACTTAAAATACTCTGTCATTATTGTCATATAAATAAAATCAATACATGATTATAAACGATAGAGGGTCTTCTAAACAATATTCTCTCAAAAATACAAACATGTACATACATGATGCTCACATATTATGGTAGCCCTGTTTGTGCTAAATAGAGTGTAATTTCACCTGTGCCATTAATATGTTTATAAGCAACTAAAAAAGTCCAAATGTCAGGGCATGTCAGAACATCTCAAGGACCCCAAATACACCTTGGTCCCCAGGGGGTTAATGTGTAATTAATTGTAAAGTAAAGATCGTGGTAAGCCACTCAAGTTTCGTCGTTTCAACACATTCCCACTGATGCTTCCACTTCTCTTTTGTTAGAAACATACTATTATGTTGGTGACAAATAAGCAGAATTTGCAACAAAAATGTAGAATACATCACATTAAAACAGCTAGCGAGACATGAAATGAATGTAATGAGCCCTGAGAAGCATAACAAGAAAGATTCAGTCGTGTCATTTGAGTTAATATAATGTATTAGTCAATATGCCATCTATCGTGTTTGTTTGCTAAAGTAATCAACTTTCTACTCTGAGAAATAAAAAGGGAAGGTCAAAGCATGATCTCTGACACCTGGTGTGGTCACTAATGTATCTGTTATACTTCAATAACATCTGATCTGAGGTCAGGATTGAAAAGTGTTCATTTTCTGCTGCTGTACTATTTATATGATTTGTCTTTCGTCAGGATCGTCTGTACTTTGTGATGGAGTACATTAACGGTGGAGATCTGATGTATCACATCCAGCAAGTGGGCAAGTTTAAGGAGCCACAAGCCGTGTAAGACATGCACACACGAGTACAAACTAATGACGGGCTTATTAATCAAGCCACACACACCGTTCTAGATGTGTCGAACATGCTGGCGTGTGTTGAACAAACTAGCTTAATGCATGCTAAGTAGTGACTATAATATAATATACAGCTAAATCAAAAACATTTCAGAGAGTAGTATGCTATATCATGTATAATTCAGCAAGTGGTGTCTATTAGTAGGGTTATTTTGCATTTGTAATTACATTTAATGTGAACATAACAGTTATGCTATTTTTTAAGGTTCATTATTGAAATTTCATCATTGAAATAATCACTATAAAGCTAAGTGCTTTCCTAAATTTAATAATTAATCTGTTATGGCATGTTTATAACATATTTATGACAGGTTGTATTGTCTTAGTAATGTCAAGTCGTCATACAAAGACACTGACAGGTTATGATGTGTTGGTTTATAACAATGACATCTCAAACAATGTCATATTTGCATTAAAAATGTCATAACTGAGCGAATGGCACTTAATGACAGTTGTCATAAACATGCATAAAACCTCCTTCATTTTCATGACGTGTGTCAATAAAGTCATAAAGTTATTCCAACTAAACTTCATTAGTTCAAATATCCGAATTTGTCAAGGTGAACAAAAACGTAATATTGTAAGTAAATACAAATTAACTAAATCGATGTAAAAAGATTCAAGTTAAGTAAATATTTTTTTAAACATTAAATATTGATTTGCTTTAGATTCTTTAAAACTGAATCAATTAAATGCAGTGCAACAAATACTACCATGTTAAATACATAATTTAAACAATTTGTTTTTGTCACATTTTTTACACTTTAGGCGAATATAAAACAACAATTTGTATGGAAATGTGCTTAAAAAAATGCCACAATGCGAAAACACATGCAGTATAAAACACTGTCAGCATGTTCATATTTCTAATGCCACGCACACACTCTAAAAAATTATATATTGGCTTTAATTACATTTTTTTATGTCAACAGGTTGCACATAACTGGATTATGTTAAACAAATATAATTTGCTCATATAACCATATAACACACATTCAAATAAATGATTTGTTGGCTTTAATTAACTTTTTTATGTCATCAGGTTCTGGAGTTATGTTGAAGCAGTGTTAAAGTTAATGAGATAATTAATGATGAATTTTAATGACTATATAATTGAGTGATGATTGAGCATTATTGAAGACACCTGAGGTTAACAAGCAGAATCTCTGAAGGAGAAAACCGGAATTTAAGTCATTGTGAAATATGTTAAAACACAACCAACACCATCCACCTTTTATATTTGTTCATCTGGCTGTTATAACTCATGTACTGCAGCCAAACTAAATCTAAAGTTAATGAATAAGGGTCAAGAGCCCAACTGAACCAAACACTGATCACCATAATGGTGACTTAAAATGTATGGTTTTCCCCTTCAGAGATTCTGCTTGTTATCATCAGGTGTCTTCAATAATGCTCAATCATCACTCAATTATTTACTTAATTATCTCATTAACTTTAACACTGCTTCAGTGTTCATTTAACACTCAGCTCAGAGTTTAATTTGGTCGCTTAAAATGACTTAATTCCATTTGTTGAAGTTACATGAACAAATTATTGTTGTTAAACGTAACCCAGTTATGTGGAACCTGTGTACATGAAAAGTTAATTAAAGTCAACATATCTTTTTTTTTTTTGAGTGCAGAAAGTTTTAAACACTTAAAACTACATATAATCTGGAAACATCTGATGCCTGTGTTCATAAAAGTTGTTGTAATGTGTGTCTGCGCTCACAACATCTTTTCGCCTGGTCAACAGAGGCGAGACAAACTCTGCCGGAATAACCAACGCTTGAACACATTTGTTTCCTTTGCTTCTTGTAAGGACTGTGACACCAGACTGAGAATTACACACACACAAAAAGAAGTCCTTTACATATTTTTGGATGTGTGATGCTGACTAATCTGGTGTGTGTTGACAGCTTCTATTCAGCCGAGATTGCTGTGGGACTCTTCTTTCTTCATAGGAAGGGAATTGTTTACAGGTGAGTGGATTTACAGTATCTTTACGTTTTACATATTCCGAGCACAAATATTCGAGCACAGTAGATCTTATACAGTAGATGTAGTCGGTGTGTCACCATCAGTGGAAAATTCACTTGACTGCAGCAGATGTGACTCTTCACAACATGATCAAATTAGATTTGCTTAGAACGGAGCCAATAACAGCTGAGAAGGTGTCAAGACGGTGCTATTAAAATCCCATATACAGCTGTTCGAGAAAAGAGAAAAGCAGAGAAACACCCTCAGTATGTATATTCACCAGATAATTGCAGCATTTACCGAACATTTAAAGACCCCATGAAATCACAGGCCCTGTTTACGCCTGGTATTGAGATGAGCTTCGGTCAATCGGATCACAGGTAGATGAGGGAGACACCTGAGTGTACACCTGGCTCTTTTGTCCACTTTCAAGCACTTCTGTCCTGTTCCCTTTCGAAAGGGACCTCGCACGGCACTGTGGGGAATGCCTCTGGCATCGCCCGTGTCTGAATCATGAGTCTAAACCAGGGGTAGGCAAGTTCGGTCCTAGAGAGCCGCTGTCCTGCAGAATTTAGTTCCAACCCCAATCAAACACACCTGAACAAGCTAATCAATGTCTTCAGGATTACTAAGGAGACTTTTTTCAGTGTTGGAGCCAAACTCTGCAGAATAGCGGCTCTCTAGGACCGAACTTGCCTACCCCTGGTCTAAACACAGCAATGAACTTGACATTGGCAGACGGCAATGACGTTACCACTGGTGCGACAGTGAGTATAACAGGCACGTGTGGAATACGTAATCCTCTTTCTTGTCTTCAGGAGACTGAATGTTTGAGCTTGTGCCTAAATAGGCAAACTATGGCCAGCACTAGCACTATGAATCTTAGGAAGTGTGTTCATCCGTGTCTGTGTTTCCTGGCACCTGATGGCACACAAGATATCTGCCTGGGCAAGGAGCAAGCACGCTTGCTCCTTGAGGGGGGTGTATGCGTGCATAGCAAGTGCTTTTCCATGAGGAAGGTTTGCTCTCGATTGTCCCTTTTGTCAAAGGATTCAGGACAGGCGTGTGTACCTCACGGTCCAGGACCCGCTAGGAGCAGGAGACAAACATCGTGGGGCTCGCAGGTGGAGATCCCCAACAAGTTCCCCAAGCTCAAGGCTCTAGAATAAAGTTATTGTCCAGCTAAAGCTAGTCTTGATTGATTCACTTCCTTGCAAAGATCATTGGTTATTAACAGGGGCCGCTAACACGACACCATTCTAACAGAAAACCGAAAACCCTTAATGCGATCCGGCCCGCTGGTGGCTCCAGAAAGCAAACCATGAAATAGGTTCCAAGGTACAAGCCTTGAAAAATGTATAATGCAGATTATTTTTCGCTTCGGTGTACCCACATGAACCGGGATTATCCCGACGACGCTTCATCAGTACAACGGTAAAGGGAAGGAGGCCTTTACAGGAGAGAGACTTGTTGGAGAGGACTGTGTTGTCGTGGTGTCCAGGCGCAGGTCCTACATCAGATCTGGATACGGCCTGGATCCGGCGGACTGCGGTAAACCTCGTAATAAAGAGAGAGACTAATATTAGCGTAGATGACATTCTTCTTATGATGTAACGAGTACATCAGGATTTAAGGGAAGTGTTCCCGGTTCCGGCTGTTGAATTATAGCAGTCTATAGTGTGTTACGTGAATGCTAGCTCAAAGAGATGTGTCTTTAATCTAACTTTGAACTGTGTGTCTGCTTCACAGACAATGTTAGCAAGATTGTTCCACAGTTTTGGTGCTAAATAGGAAAAGGATCTCCCGCCTGCAGTCGATTGTGATATTCTAGGTATTATCAACTGGCTGGAGTCTTGAGATCGCAATAGACGTGAAGGACTATAATGCGTTAAGAGCTCGCTCAAGTACTGCGGAGCTAAACCATTTGGGACTTGACTTATGTTTTCTAATGTAAAAATCTTGATGAGCTATGACATTACAAATCCAGGATAAACTGTTTGGTATATCATGTAGTCTTTATCTGGAGATATTTTTGGGCATCCGCTTCCTAGAGTTGGCGTCATCAAGTAGCTGGCTTCTGTAAGGCTCCTTGGTGAGCTGTTCTGAGTGTAGGACGTTTCTAGGCCTTGTCTCGCTTTAGAGAGTTGTCGTGTTGAGGCCTCCGTCCGCACAGCTCCACCACCAGTGGTCAGGCTTTTGAGTCTCTTTGGCCACTGCCTTTAGGACCACGGACCTCCTTTTGTCTAATGGTTGGGGTTGATTTGGCTCCACCGAGCCTCGCTGGGAAGCTGTTCATCTTGAAGACGAGTTCGTTCAGAATCAGCTTCATATAGCAGGTCGGCTGACTCAATCTCCATCTCATACATCCCGTATAGCATCGCAGTGCATTTTCCTGTTGAAGCCGAGCGTCCATTGACTTCAAAGGAACAGCTTTGAACAGTTTTCTTTAGTGCTTCGAAACTAGACGGTCATTGGATAAATGCTGCGATTATGTCCCGCCCATGGAGAATCAAAGTCTCTGGATGAGTGAATGGAGGAGTGGCCTGGACTCTGGGCTTCTGCGAGATGATTGGAGGGTCTGTCGAAAGACTGCATCTCCTTTTGATTGACAGCGATTTTGTACTATAAAAAGTCGCTAAAGCTATTCTAGTCTTTAAGAAATGTACTGTAGGTCCGAATTTATGTATAAATCAATGGACAATTTTTATAGTGTAGGCTGAATGTGGGCTTCCCCTCAGTGTTACGATTGGGTCCAAAGTGAAGCAAGGATTCAGGTGCGGAGAATAAGGATATTTATTAAGAAACAATGAAACAAAACTACCCCGTGGGGGTAAACAAGAGCGATCTCAGGCAGGCACAGGAAACACGAGGGATACATAGATAACGAACAAACATACGATAGGGAACAAACATAAGAGGACAACGAGGCAGGCAGGAGGGGGAAATTAAACAATAACGAGATAACAAGATGGGGCGGGGTTTGACAGTAGGACAGGACATGTGATCCGATCGACCAAAACACATCTTAATACCAGGTGTAAAGAGGGCCACAGTTGTTTTAGTTTTTTGCTTTTAGTCAATGTCTGTCGGTGTACACCTAAAGGCTGATGCCATCATCAAGCTTGTGTTGGAAGTCTACAAGACATTTGGAGGGTTTTAAATAAGTAGAGCTTAAATAGTTTTAAACTGTCAGCCTCTCGCTGTTATGTGCGATAGCTAACACATTCACATTCTCTAGGAATGCTAGCTGAATATGATGACATTCATAGACATCGTGACATGTGGGGAGCTCATTTGTGTGCAAATAGAAGCTCAAGTGTCATTGAAAAGCCATATTACTTGAGGTCCGAAACGCCCAAGAATTGCAGTGTGTATCACTCCTGTCAAGAGAATGAGTCACTGTGTGAGGAATGGGGGGGGGGGGTTGTAAGAAAGGCTGTTTATCTGCAGAGCTGTCTCGCTCGGCGTTCCCCGTCCCTGCAGGGCTTCAGCGTTCAGCTCGCATTAATCATGCTCTCTGATGATGAAGGCTGAGGTCGGCCTGACCTCGTTCACTGCCCACTCACGCACACACACAGCTAAACACCACACATCTGCCCTCTGAGGGGGCTTTCATACACCTCCGGCCTCATTTATAACCGTTGCGTCGCACAAAAAATAAGGAAAGAGGCAAAACGCAACTTCCGACGCTTTGGATTCATAAAAACAAGCTTGACGGGAGAATGTGCGCATTTGTACGCAAACTCTGAGCCATCCGTATGAACATTTTGGAGACAGTTTGGCGACACCGGTGGTGAGCCGAGGGACTGACGGCAGATGAAGGAAAACCGCTTTAAACATTCATTATGAGTCCTAATCATAAATACAGAGCATGTTTACAATAGCAGTTTAGATATAAATAAAATTAAATTATTATTTAAACTATGTTTTACCTCTGATATACACATTTAGATTAAATATGCCATTCTCATTAATGGAGTTAAGCACTTAAATTACATGAAATCATTACCGAGAAGTTACAACATTTTTTTATATTCTAATAAATAGAAATATTTGTAATAGAAATGTTTTCTGTATTGGATGCAGTTTTCTTGTGGCAACTCATAGTCATAGTCAATTTATTTGATTTATTTATTAAAAAACAAGGCAAGGATGTGTTTTAGCAATGTAATGTGAAGCACATCCGTATCTCATATTGTCCTAATGTCTTTCCTAATCATGTGGATGAATATATGCAAATGATATGCAGATGAGGATATGCAAAGTAAAACAAGCTCCATATATGGGTATTTCAGGGTGGAGACGCATCTTACGCTGAGTGTATTCTTGAGTCTGAATATTTTTGGCTTCCGGGCGCACGTACTGTACACTTTTAGTGCGAATCCTACGAACAGTCAGTTTTGTAAATGAGACCCCTGGTTTGTTTATTCTGTCCTCAGAGATCTGAAGTTGGATAACGTGATGTTGGACGCCGAGGGCCACATTAAGATCGCAGACTTCGGCATGTGTAAGGAAAACATGTATGAGGGCATGACGACGCGCACCTTCTGCGGGACGCCGGATTACATCGCTCCGGAGGTGAGAGAGCCATTCAACAAGTAGTTCTTCTAAATAAACAAATAAACAAAAACTTTTACTCATCCTTAGTGGTGTAGTCACGATAAATCGCAATACAGAAATGCAACAATATGTATCATGTGATATGTTGGCTTTACTTAACTTTTATATGTAAGGTTCCATAAATTAACTTTCCCTTTCGTAGTCACTTCGAGTTACGTCAGAAGTGACGGAGATTGGGGGTTTCGCATAGAAAGCCAATCCTCTTCGAGTATTTAAAAACGAGCCAATGGCATGCAATGCCTTGGGGCTGCGGAAATTTGCATAGCGTACTCCGCCCTACTCCGTGAGTATAAAAGGAGGAAGTGAACGCAACCGCAGTATGTTTTTGCTTCGGAACCAAGAGAACTCTTCACTCCTGAAAGCCATTCTCACTGTTCAAGACTCTTCGAGACGAGCGTCCTCTTCAGTGTTGGTGTGACGGCGGTACCCAGCGAGATTCTGAGCAGTGGTCTGCCAGACTTTGCGCTTCTCCCTGGTCGCCTCAGCGCTGAAAGAGTGAATTTCCTCCTCTCATTGAAAGAGCTGCACGTGGCACGTCTGATGACTCATGTTCCTTCTGTGGGAACATGACCATCTCTACACTGAGGTCGAGACTCAATGATCTGACTAAAGTGAGAGTCCCGTTCCCCCCTACTCTATCGGCTTCCTCCACGGGAGGCCCGTCGACCCGGGGACCTGGTGATCTGACGGTGACGGTGTGGAACAAAGCCCCGACGATTCCTCGGGACACACCTCCCGCCTCAGTGAGAGAGCCAGCAAGCGTTTCAGTCGATTCAGTCGGCTGCTTCTTCGGGGGTACCGGCTGCTTCGGGCAGCGCTCCAGATGATGATGCGATGTCGATCGCAGCATCACTAGGTGGGCTAGATTCCTCAGGAGATGAGGATGCGGCTGCGTTTCCTCCTTCGGGAGTGCCAGCGTTGCCCGTGTTGGATCCCGAGCTGACGGCCATGCTGTCTCGAGCCGCTGGGAGTATTGGGTTAGAGTGGAACCCTCCGCCCTGCCCCGATCTCTCACGGATGGATGATTGGTTTTTGGACAAAGCTGCCGCCGCAAGGCCACGGCCGACTCCATTGCCTTTCTTCCCCGAGCTGCATGTGGAGCTGTCGCGCTCTTGGGGGGCTCCCCTGTCCACTCGAGAGCGCGATCTCTCCCCCGCCTTTCCCCCCCTCGATGGTGGGGCCGCCCGTGGGTACACTGGGATGCCCCCGGTGGTGCGCTCTGTTGCGATGCAGTTGTGTCCACAGAGCGCCTCCTCCCGTGGTCCTCCTAAGCACCCATCCAAAGCCTGTAGGTTCTCGTCTGCTATGGCGGCGCGTTCCTATAGAGCGGCGGGACAGGCGGCCTCCGCTTTGCATGCGATGAGCACTTTGCAGGTCTTCCAAGCGAAGATGCTCAGAGATATGCACGAGGGCAGGACTGATCCAACGGCATTCAAAGATTTGCGGGCCGCCACTGACCTTGCTCTCCGGGCGACGAAAGTGGCCGCTCGCGCCGTTGGTCAGGTGATGGCCACCAGTGTGGTCCAGGAGCGCCATCTCTGGCTCAACCTGGCAGACACTCGGGACGCTGAGCGGACTCGTCTGCTCGACGCCCCACTCTCCCAGGTTGGCCTTTTCGGCGGTGCAGTCGAGGACTTTGCCCAGCAGTTCTCGACTGCCCAGAAGCAGACGGAGGCAATCAGACATATTCTGCCCCGACGACCAGCTGCTGCCTCCACCCAGTCGTCGGCACAGATGCCTCCCGCTGCTCGCCGCCGAGGACGCCCCCCAGTGGCTCCCCTCCCTCCCGCCCGGCCCCAGCAGCAGCCTTCATCCGGGCCGCGGCGTGGAGGAGGCCGCAGGCAGGCGTCACAGCCCCCTCAGGCCGCACGCCCCGCTAAACGCCAGGCTAAGCGACGTTCCTGAGACGGGCTGCTCAGTGATGAAGTTGAGTTTTTCCCAGGAGGCGGTAGCAGGCCCCCTCCTTCCCCCGGTGGAGGGCCGGGGGAGAATCTTTTGTTCTCAGCTCCCCGCTGCCCACCCACGGGTGGGCAGCACCCTGAGTTGGTTAAAGAAAGACTTGACATCATCACTGAGCACACAGACAGGATTGGGTGCGCTCGACGTCCCAGTGCGTCAGCCCACTCATTCCTCTCTGTCTCTGAGGGTGCGGAAGGGAGCGTGTGTCGTCCCCGGGCTACGCCACTCCCCTCCCCCTCTATCGCCAGACCCCCGGCAGAACAGACCCCCGTGGAACACTCTGCCTTCCCTGGTCTCTTCTGTCGGGGAGCGGGCTTCGACGGTGCATCCGGGCGGGGCAACTCCTGCGCGCATGCCGGTCGACCCGCCTCACTGTCCCTCCGGGGGGACGTCTGTGGTTCGGATGACCCCGCTGGTTCACTTCCTGGAAGCCTGGCTAGAGCTTCCCGGGCTGTCCCGCTGGGTCGTCAGAACGATCAGATTCGGCTACGCGATTCAGTTCGCACGGTCTCCTCCCCGTTTCGGGGGAGTTCGCTCCACGATGGTCGTGGCAATGCCCCGGTCATGAGAGCGGAGATTGCGACCCTGCTGGCGAAGGGTGCAATCGAGACGGTCCCTCCAGCCGAGATGAGGTCCGGGTTTTACAGCCCCTACTTCATTGTCCCCAAAAAGACCGGTGGGTTACGACCGATCCTGGACCTGCGCATTTTGAACCGTTCTCTCCATCGACTACCGTTCAAAATGCCCGCCCGTCTGGGCCTTCGGGTCAACCGGGAAAAGAGCAAACTTTGCCCCGTGCAGAGGATCTCTTTTCTCGGCATGGAGATAGACTCGGTCGCCATGTCCGCGCAGCTCACGAACGAGCGTGCGCACTCACTGCTGACTTGTCTTCGACAGTACGAGGGCAAGAGTGCGGTTCCACTGAAACTATTTCAGAGGCTCCTGGGGCATATGGCATCCGCGGCCGCGGCAACGCCGCTCGGTTTGCTTCATATGAGACCGCTTCAGCTGTGGCTTCGCGATCGAGTCCCGAGGTGGGCATGGCATGTTCTTGGCACTAGTTCGCTCCGAGTTCCAGTGACTCCAGCATGCCGCCGAACCTTCTTCTCGTGGTCGAACCTCAGCTTTTTACGGACCGGCGTCCCTATTCAGCGAGTTTCCAGGCATCTCGTTGTCTCCACGGATGCGTCTACCATGGGTTGGGGTGCCATGTGCAATGGGCATGCAGCCGCGGGTTCCTGGACAGGAACCCAGCGCCTAATGCACATCAATTGCCTCGAGCTGCTGGCAGTACGGCTCGCCCTGCACCGCTTCCGAGCGTTGCTCACGGGCCAGCATGTGCTTGTCCGTTCAGACAACACTACGGCAGCAGCGTACATCAACCACCAAGGGGGTCTACGCTCACGCCGGTTGTCGCAGCTCGCCCGCCACCTCTTGTTATGGAGTCAGAAGCACCTGAGGTCCCTTCGTGCAGTATACATTCCTGGAGACCGGAACCTGGCAGCCGACGAACTGTCACGGGTCCGTCCTATCTCCGGCGAATGGCGACTCCATCCCCAGTCGGTCCAGCTGATTTGGGACCAGTTTGGGGAGGCACAGATAGATCTGTTCGCCTCTCGGGACTCATCCCACTGCGCCCAGTTTTATTCCCTGACCGAGGGTACGCTCGGCTCAGATGCGCTGGCGCACAGCTGGCCACGGGGCCCACGCAAGTATGCGTTTCCCCCAGTGAGCCTCCTTGCATGGGTGTTGTGCAAGATCAAGGAGGACGAGGAGCAGGTCTTGCTGGTAGCCCCCTATTGGCCCACCAGGACGTGGTTCTCCAAACTCATGCTCCTCGCGACAGCACCTCCTTGGCCTATTCCTCTGAGACAGGACCTACTCTCTCAGAGACGGGGCACTCTGTGGCACCCTCGTCCCGATCTTTGGAGGCTGCACGTGTGGCTCCTGGACGGGACGAGGCAGGTTTGAGTTCGCTGCCACCTGCGGTGGCGGCAACCATCACTTCCACAAGAGCGTCGTCCACGAGACACCTTTATGTGTTGAAGTGGAACCTCTTCGTCAATTGGTGTTCTTCTCGCGGAGAAGACCCCCGGAGATGTTCGATCGCGGTTGTGCTTTCCTTCCTGCAAGAAGGGTTGGAGCGCAGGCTGTCGCCCTCCACCCTTAAGGTTTACATCGCGGCCATTGCCGCTTCTCATGAAGCAGCGGAAGGTAAGTCCTTAGGGAAGCACGACCTGGTCATCAGGTTCCTGAGGGGAGCGAGGAGGCTACATCCGCCTCGTCCTCCCCTCGTACCCTCTTGGGACCTCTCGGTAGTTTTAAGTGCACTGCAGAGGCATCCCTTTGAGCCCTTTGGGGGACCTGCACGCATTCTCCGTTGACGAAGCGTGCCTGGAATTCGGGCCGGCTTACTCTCACGTGATCCTGAGACCCCGGCCTGGATATGTGCCCAAGGTTCCCACCACTCCCTTCCGGGACCAGGTGGTGAACCTGCAAGCGCTGCCCCTGGAGGAGGCAGACCCAGCCTTGGCACTGCTCTGTCCGGTACGTGCTCTCCGCACCTATGTCGACAGAACGCGGTGTTTCAGGACCTCAGACCAGCTCTTTGTCTGTTATGGGGGGAGCCAGAAGGGAAGGGCTCTCTCAAAGCAACGGCTGTCCCACTGGATAGTGGACGCCATTGCTTTGTCTTACCAGCAGCAAGGCCTTCCGTGCCCCCTTGGTGTGACGGCCCATTCCACTCGGAGTGTGGCCTCCTCTTGGGCTCTAGTGCACGGCGCCTCGCACATTTGCAGAGCTGCAGGCTGGGCGACACCCAACACCTTCGCCAGATTCTATAATCTGCGAATTGAGCCGGTGTCCTCTCACGTACTCGCTTCCGCCGGTACTGGACCCGCTTAGGTGTCTTCGCTTGCTCGCCATTCCACTCCACGAACTGGATAAGTGCGATATCTCCTCAGTTCTTCCTTTGAAGCCTTGAGTCCTCCAGCACCTAC